CACGAACTGCTCATTTAATAAAAACTTTGCACACAATTGACGAAATATAGTTCTTTTTGAAGCACATATCGGACTTTAAGTGTAAAAATTCATTGGTGTTGATTCAAATGTTAAGATTTACCTACTTAAACTATGATCCTAATCTATCAATAACTTTAAAGAAAAAAAAATTCAACAACTGAGTGAAGAGTTATTGACAAATCAGCAGTTGGTGTGTACAACTCTGCATGCCAAGCCAAGCGGTGAGGATTACTTGTCACTGACAATCAGTGGTATAATTTTGATAAATAGTTAGTTAAAAATAGCAAAACAAAAATTTTACTTTTGCATATAGTGGAAAAACAGGAGAACAACCAAGAAAACAATACATAAATGTGCAATGCACACATAATCTCATAGATTAAGTTTGATTTTCTGAAAATCTATAATTTTGTTTAAAATCCGCAAATCTGTATCCACCTTTCCATGCTCGGTAATGGCGCCCTGTTTGTATGAGCATAGAGAGCTGGATACACAGATTCTTGGTCAAAAATAGACACTTTTTTCATATGCCGCTGCCGCCGATGATTTCTTATCGGCGTGCCGCCGTGATCATTTTTGACACGCCGCCGGCTTATTCACTTCTAAATTTTATAAATACTATTTCTCGCCAACTACACTCGATAAAACTGCCACCGGTTGTTTTGTATTTCGATCCTCATGTTACTTGAGGTATTGCTTGATGTGTCAAGGTATAAGTCCTATGTTTTCTACTTTCCCTGGGGAATATCTGGTATATATAGTTATCAATCTTGGCACTTGATGCAGCTTGTTTTAAAATTATCATGAGGTGTAACATGTTACGCATAAGCGCAACTTTAATACGCATAAGAATTCAAAAACAATATCTTTTATCACTATTGAAGAGAGCTGCGAAAAAAAAATCGTCTTATACTGCCTATAAACCATATGTCAAAAAAAGGCATTGAGAAAATGGCAGTTGAAGTTATGAAGTGCAATTTTAATGTAAATATAAAAAAAAACATGGTCAATTAATCGATAATTTCGTCAAGTTGAAATCAGTAGCAATGCAATTTGCATGGTTTGTTATATCAGCTAAACATATGGAAATTCAAAAAGCAGAACTGTAACTTAGACGATTTAATTTCAGGATGGGACTGATATGCGATTTCTTTGCTTGATAGGACAAAGTTGTTTTCACATTTTTCATGATTAAAATCCGTAGTTTAATCACGTAATATGAAAGTAGATGTCAATGGATAGAGGAGAGCGTAAACTCAAGTATACTGCGAGTGTACCCCGACAATTTGGTGCTGGTGGTTCTGTCAAACTCACAAGTTTCAGAAGGGTTATCTGAATAGGGCGAATGCGGAAATGATGTACAATAAATAAAATCCAAGCTTGAAATTCATCTCAGTGTCGCACCAGAACGCACGTCTGACGTCAAAATTAACATAAGTGCACGGTAACCAGCGTAAACACATTAATGTGTAAAATTTCACACATTTCGTATAAAATGTGTAAACCCAGCAAACGGAATTTTTGTCAATGATAAAATAAAGATAGCTCGAATACAATAATATTTTATTAAAAAATGAAATGCCATCAACAAAAATAAGTAGCGGCACCGGTGGTGTAGTGGTAAACGTGATTACCTCTCACCCCAGCAGGCCTGGGTTCAATCCCAGTTGACGCTGCCGGGATGTTCTGAGGCATAACATCTCTAAACGCGCCGAGGATCACGCCTTCCATCGGAAGGGAAGTGAAGCCATTGGTCACCGGTTCATGAGTTGATGGGTCGATAGGTAGGTTCCAGGTATGGGAGCTCAGCACGGAAAACAAATCAAGGGAAGAAAAACAAAAATCAGTATTTGAAGCAAGCGAGCGAGACACCGGATATTGATTATTATTTTTTTTTTGTTTTCTAAAACTAAAGTAAAAACTATGAAAAAAGTATAAATCACCTACCCTCTAGCATGTCCATCATTGCGCACTGTCCAGTTTGGACCGTAGTTCCTCAATTTTCCTGCTGTTCTTCACTGAAAATTTAGCAAATGGCGTGCGTCAACAAAGGAGGATGCAGCAAAGTTTGAAGTTTTTCATTACCCATTAATGAGTATAAAAATACACATTTTTTGACTGGTACTACATTCTTAAAATGTGCATTTTTGCACACATATTAGGACTCCAAATTTAAACATTTTTTGACAGCTGCATATAAATATAAAAAATGTGTATTTTTTACTCATTTATGTGTTTACGCTGGTTACCGTGTAACATAGAAAGTCCACACGGCAAGAAAAAATACTCAAAATTAAGTTCAAAAAAACTCAACGTTGGGTTCTATCATTTGAGGTCCGCCGTTGAGTGAATCAGAAAAGCGACGTTGGTTAAAATTTACTCAACTATTGAGTAATAATAAATGAACTCAAATATAAGTTTATTTTAATTGAGGTTGCTCTTATGCGCCTTTAACCATTTCATTTTCACAAGCGTTCATAGACCAGTGGTCAACACACAGGCCCCGTATTCTCAACGTCCATGGTTCGGTTCCAGTCTGCTCCGTTTTATTATTTTTTTGTCAACTTGGTCAACGTGGATTCATGATCAGGATTACTCAAAATTGAGTTTTCTTCTTTAACTTAATTTTACCTAGCCCCACGGAAGCCACGTGTTGAGTGAAAGGAACTCAATTTTGGGTACTTTTTTCTTACCGTGCAATGATACCAGCGAGAAATGTCGTTTTGGTTTTTTCAGTTGTATGCACAATTCATAATCAGTGTATGAAACTTTTTTTGTAGTCTTGTGTGTCTTTGAGCAGAACAGGACCAAAAGTTTAAACATATGATTTGTAAAACGAAAATATGTGATTGTCATCGAATTAATCAAATGATAATTGAGCGAGGATACTATCGGTGATTTCGACGCTATTACTGTTATCGTCGATGATGAACAAAAAAATAATGATTTTGCAGCGAGTTAGAGCGTAGTTATTACAGTATCCCCCCACTAATCAAACAAACTTGATAATCTGACTATCAAGTCCATACAAATCAAAGTTACCAATGTAAACAAAAGCTCCATAAGAGACCGTGCTGTCGAATAAAGGAGAGCCGGAGTAAGGACATACCAACCGGTAGAAACTAACGATTTTAAATTGGCTCACAACTTGACTAGCCTATTGGTCCCAAGCAAATTGATTAACGTACCCCATTCTAGTTGACATTCTAGTACTACACTATGTTTGTTTTGATTCGCTATGAAAGTTTGACAGATAAAATGAGGGGTTCGTGGATTTTCCTATGTTTCAAGGGGTGCATCGGTTAGCTTGGGACAGAAGAGAGTACCAGAGCTGAGCCAAAAACTTGAGCACGTTTTTTCGGGACCTTCTGGTCTTAGACTTACCTCTATGGAAATACTGTATACGCAGCTAGTACTGCAAAATGTACAATTTGAGACTAGCTTACAGTGGTGAACTTTGTGAGTCTATCGAAGGCCTTAAATGCATTAAGCTAAATATATAATATGTCATGTAATTTGATTAATTTTCAATTTCAGCAGTTTACTTACCCCATAAGAGAAACACGGGAAAGTAAACATTTTTTTTTATTTACGGGTCAGGACAAGCCTTCATTGCACATCTATGCTCAAAGCAAAAAATCTGAAAGATAATCAAATTCAGGAGCAAAAAATAACTGAAGAAACCAAAGTATTTTTATTGCCATTCGATGATATAAGAAGATCATACTCGGTTCAATTTGTATGGATTTATTTCATTTCACCACAAAAACTATAAATTAGCTCTTTTCATATGGCATCCACACATGGTGAAACAAAAAGTTGGTTTTCCATAGAGAAATACCGTTCCGGTGGTGAAGCACAATCCCTTTGTTTGCGTCGTGTGGCGACATCTACTATTTGCAAGTGGATAGATATTACTAAGTCGCAGCTGGGAGATAAAATTACGTAGTAATGCATGGTCCCTTACGACAGTTGCTAAACCCCATATATTTTGTTTGTATCCAACATGTTTTCGACTGAATACTATTTTGAATCAATGGGAAAATTAACAGGTTGCTTAGATATTTTATCAGGGGAACCCCCAGGGGAAGTGGCCAGATTATTACATTAGCCTTAACTATTACATGTAACACCTTATGATAAATTGACAACAATCTGCTTAAAGTGCCAAGATCGATAACTAGATAAAGCTGATATTCCCCAGGGAAAGTAGAAAAATTAGGACTTATACCTTAACACATCAAGCAATACCTCAAGTAACATGAGGATCGAAAAACAAAACAATCGATGGCAGCTTTATCGAGTGTTCAGGACTACTTTGGCCACGTATAATTTAATCGTTATCGCCGAAATCATAGATATATTTTATGTTTTCTGCTTGATAGGACAATAATTGGCGAGTAAATGTTAACCCAACTTCGCATAAACAAAAATATGATATCACAAATAAATCGGTTTCAAGGTTTATCAATCATCAATCTTTATGTCATATTTAAACCAACAAGCTATTATTAAGAATTTTATATTAATGGTGATAATTAAGCATCGGGTAAATGTCGGTTGAAGAAATACAATCAACGTCACACCTCCACCCTTCGTAGCTCTCATCGCACTCCGAGTAAAGCTTTTGTGAAAACTGTCTCCATTTTCACTCGTCCCACCTAAACATCCGCTAGCAAAGCAATTCACCTGTCTCCCACCAATCTCCAGCTTTAATCCCTCATAACTGACGGTCCAACAAGTGCAAAGCCGCACAGAGATGACAAAGTTCGTTACCTGATGAGATTTACTGAGCTTGAACACGCGAAAATGCTCCATGTGTTAGTGTGCACTACCTAAAACTGTGATATATCTAGCGTGATTGCGTCTTACTCTCTCTCTCTCTCTCTCTCTCTCCCCCTATATGTCTCTACCCACTCAACTATGGCGGCTAATTTATGCTAATTATGATCCGGTTTAATTAAATCCATTCCACACAGCAAACCCTGGAGCGCGTCTCACGGCTGATGGATGCCGTTCTGCGCGGTGGCAATCACTCTCAACTGCCGGCACAAGGACTACACACGGGACGGACAGCCACCGGTGCGGACGATTCGCACTCACAACTGTTCCTGGAAATGCTCTCTGACTTGGCACGGGATATCGAGGACTTTTGATGGTTAACGTTCCAGCATCACCCACCACCAGTGCCATCGCTGTCGCCAAGAAGAGAGGTTCAGGTTAGTTGGGCTGGGTGACACACTCGTTAAAGCACCACTGAAGTGTGGCTGTTAAAGGAACTACACATGGACTCTCGGGATGCTGATGGTTTTGAGCGTGGAGTATTCACGCTAATCTATGACTTATATTTTTGTTTAACAAGTTCATGTTATTCATTTTTTCATCGTATTTTTAGCACATAATTTTTAGCATTTTAGGTTCCTAGTTCATTGTTTGTTTGTTTTATGTTGGTATTTGATACTTTTTGACGTTTTCAATCAATATAAAGTAATTAAAAACTACTTTTCGATCATTTTTTCTACTTTCTGGATAATATCACGACAATATTCATAATGTACCTACATAGTAAAAACCTGATATCAACTTTTGAGTACTTGGCACTGATGAAGGCTGCAAGTAAATAGTAGACGAAATACGCGTATCTGTCAAAAGATAAGCAATTATAACGGAATTAAAAGGAAATAAACAAACACACTCAAACACACAGAGGTTCGACAAATTTAAAAGATTCATCATTCATTGGACCTGTATGTTATATGATAAATCTAACTACTAAACTCGATTTATTTCACTTCAGGTTATCGGAAGGCATAAGATAAAAAATGACACATGTTTAGAAAGCACTCAATAAACTCAAGGATCACTAAGTTGAGAGTCTGTGACCAAATTGTAATTAATAGTCCAAAACAAGTTTCATTAGAAGCGGCATCGGTGGTGTAGTGGTAAGCGTCAAGGGCGTAGCAAGGTTTCAAGCTAGGGAGGGGCCATTTCACTGAACGCCATTTCAAGGGAAGTAAAGCCGTTGGTCCCCGGTCTATGAGTTGATGGGTCGATAGGTAGGGTCCAGGTGTGGGAACTGCCACCCAGGCATTGGCACTCAGTACTGAAAACAAGATCGACGGAAAACAAATCACAGAAAAAAAAAGTTTCATTAGAAATAACTTGAAAACTGCTACGAGTGCAGTTTATTTGTTATCACCCAATCAAATAAAAAAAACTTTACTACCGTCACAACTAAAGTGAATCCCTGAGCAGCTGGTAACATCCAGTAAACAATGATAAGCACTTCACGAGAAGTGGCACAAATCCCCTGACTAGTAGAACCTATTGATCATCTGGATCTTCAACTTATTAAAAAAAAAAAAAAACAACCGCAGCTCAAAGTCACAACAGACCAAGACGACAGTATGAGTGATTGCGAGTACATGCGTGCGAAGTAGCATCAATCACACGAGCATAGAGCTGATTATACTTGTATCACATATAAACTGCCAGTGAAAGCAAGTCTGTCCCATGTTGATAAGGCACTATTATAAATTACAGTTAATATTTTCTGTCTCAATTATGCTGATGACTCTTAATCATTCGCTCCATTAATGTCCTGAGAATTTCAAAATTCTTCAACAAATATTTAAAGCAAAATATGACCCAACTGAAACTCATAAACAATATGGGACAAATATGCTTCCACTAGCCGGCAGTGAAGTAGACGGGCAAGAAATTAGTGCCGCGGACTCTTACTGGGATAATTGGACCTGTATGTTGTGTATGATTGTGCGATTCCAGCAGAGTACACACCCCAGAACGAGCCGGCACTTGATGATGATCTTCATATGTACTCCCTACAGATAGATAGGTAGGTATTCGTGGTGAACCCGAGCGTGCGAAGGCCAAAAGAGCATCGTTCGCGGTGTGTGATCCCGCCGCCGCCACCGAACCAAGACACGCCGCCGTTTTGAGCATGTAGTAAACGCAGAGACTTGGCGAACGGCTCAGTCTGAATCAGCGCATGGCTTCGGGAACAACGGGCAGTTGAAATCAAACTTAGAGCAAGAGAGAGAGAGAGAGAAGTGTGAGAGTGGCTTCATCATTTCATCATTTCTAATGCTGTTTGGAAACTGAAAAGGCTTTGTGACTGATGATTTAGAGTTTTAAATATAACAGTGCGATTACAGTTTGAATCTACATATCAAGTCGAAAGGACGTTGCGTAAGAAAGTCCGATAAGTCTGAAGCATTCGCGGTGAACGGTTGACTGTGAACATATATTTGTTGTTTGGTGATTTGGCTTTCGCTATGAAATCAGTACTTCTCCTGTTGAACTTATGGTTTTTAACCAGCTACAGTACGTTTGCATACATTGTGGATCCCGGACCATCCGTAAAAGCAACTAAAGGTAATGTAACCGTTGATCGTAGGGCAATTTTACACTATTCAATAGTTTTTCAAATTTGTTAATTTGTAACACATAATTTCTAGTGTTCAGAATCATAAGGGCCTATCTGGGCAATGATTGATTCTCTTAATCGATTTTCTCTTTTGTTAATAACTCCGCTGGATTAACATTTATCGAAACGTTTGATGTTGCATTTGTACACGGAAACAAATCCGATTCCATTTTCATGAATAAAAAATCATGAAATGATAAACTTGCCATCCCATGAAATCGTAACAATGATTCATGATTTCGTCTTGGAAATTCATGATTTAATAATGCAGTGGAATCAAGACCGCTACAAGCGTTACACGTACTTGGCAAACCGTGTTTATAAACCACACTACATAGGTATCTATTATACGCCTTTTATCTTCTAACTTATACAAGTACTGATAGTCTAGTGGTCAAAGTATGAGTTTAATGATCTCAAGGTTCTTGGTTTCAAATCCAGTCTGATGCTTTATTCTTATTACATTTTTTGGTTAAAAGTTAAACCCATGAATTTAGCTCATGATTTTAACTCGGATGATTCATGATTTTGGGAATGTTTGCTGCGTTACGGAAAAGTTGCTCATGATATCATGAATATTATTCATGGTGTATTTTCATAACATGAAAACACGCTGTGTGCATGAAATCATGAGTCATTTTTCTCATTTCGGAGATCGGATTTTTTCCCGTAATCTAATACATCATTTCACTACACTGTATTGTATTAATTTAGGAAAATTGGTTCACTGAACTGTGATATGCTAAGAGAAAATGGATGAAGAGAATCGTTATTGTATTCCCTTTTCTTGGCTTTCCACAGATGTTATGGTGGGAGCTTTCTAAAGGGCCGCCCACATTAGAACCGTTTGCGTTGCGTAGACGTAAATTTGACAGATAGACAATACATTTAGCTGTCACTTTGCCACAGCGCGTCAGATCCAGATCTAATGTGGGTGGCCCTTAAGTATCAGCAGTTCCACGCCAACTGACGAATCGATTAAACTTTACCCTCTCTGAATGCCATGAAACTTAGTATAATTCTAGATGATTATTTGAAAACGTCCTACCTGTTTTGACAAATTCCCTTCATCGACTTTCTTCGTTTCTACGTAGATTTCGTGTCATTTTTACTACATAGTTTGATAAAAGAGGTTCTTATTCGCACACTACACACACTAAGGTTTTTTACAGGGTCTCGGCAAATCAATTGTTTAGGGGTATTGAGGTAAAATACATATTCGTTATCTGCATTAAAAATTGAACCGAAATCCAAAATTTCATCAATTTTAAATAAGTACGATTACATTAGGAAGAATCACAATATTAGCGTCCCTTGTCCCTTGGGACTTTGTATGGGAGCGAGCTGTCAACGAATAGATTTAGTGTCAACGATCAAAAATGTAAATCTTGATCTAAAAATCGAGATGAATGTCTACAGGATCGATAGAAATATCGTTGTGCTCAGAAAACGAAGCTCTATCATGAATAAAAATCGGTATCGGCTAAACAACCCGATTGCCGAGATTTGCACCGTATGTGCTTGGTGACCATTCCTACAATGAATCTCGGCAATCCTAAATCTGACAATTTTACAATTTTCAATTTTTTTTTTTTTTCAAAAATCCCAGCCGAAAATTAATAGGCTGTTCTGCAAAAGTATCTCCAGAGCAAGATTAGTTTTAACTTACTTGTGAATTTGTATACGTAGAAATAATTAATCTGTGGTCAGCAGTGCTAAGCTGTCCTATGTTCTTTGATTAGCAAAACACATGCAGATCATCTGGAATTACCACGATATTCCAAACAACACATAACTGAGCACTCTTCTTCAACAATTATAACGTGGGGGAATGGTATCGACGTGGTATCTTGTCGGACTGAAAGTGTAAAAAAATAATCAATTTCATTCTTATAAAAAAAAATCGGACAAAATGAAACTTACATTAATCCATTAGATTCAATTTCTTCTTCCGGACTTTCCTATCGCTGCTCCCTTGGACGTTTTGGTGGGTGTTTATGCCATACGACGAAATCCGATGACCCGCTAGGAAATCCAGTTCTACAAAACACAACTTTTCTTGAAACTTCTTGGTGGGTGAAACAAGTTACAGCCATCTTACTTGCACTTGAATCGTGTCGAAAATATGGTGAAATTTTACTTGCCACTTGCCACAATATTATCATTAATACAGTGCATGAACGCTGCTTTTACTGCGTTTGTTTATTTTTGTGGCCATAAAAATTACATGATTACCGAAATATCAAGAAAATTATGAGTTGCTGTTTCGAATAAGCATTTTATCCTGCCTAGCTCGAGAGTCTAAAACATCAAAGTGTGTACCGTCCAAAACATCAAACACAACAGGGAATGTTTTTGCAGCTGAATTTTTATCAGCCCTATGACAGGATGTCATTATCGCGTTGTCAAAATGTCATACGTGAAGCGAGCCAAGCACAGCAAAATGAATTACTTGGCCCAGGAACTTGCTGCCTACTGTTACACCAACAATCAATACGAAACTAACGATTTTAAATTGGCTCACTACTTGACTAGCCTATTGGTCCCAAGCAAATCGATTAATGTACCCTTTTCTAGTATAAATTCCAGTACTACACTACACGGTTAAAAAAAAGTACCCAAAATTAAGTTCTTTTCACTTATCTCGGCACTATAGTGGAGGAACCCAAAAGTAGGTAAAGCGGATCAAAGTAATTTTCATTTACTGGTGTGCAGTTCGTATGGAATTTTCCACTGGCTTTTTAACCAAAAGTAAGTTAGTTGTACCCAACAGTAGGTAAATATGATTATACTCAACGTTGGGTTCCCACACTTTACTACCTCTGTTGGGTGGTTTTGCTCCTCCGTTTTTGACAACATTAGAAGGAGAAAAGGAGACAAACTAGTCAAAAGTAGGTAAAAGTGAACTGGCCGTTGGGTACATTTTTCTTACCGTGTATGTTAGTTTTGATTCGCTATGAAAGTTTGACAGATAATATGAGGGGTTAGTGGATTTTCGTATGTTTCGAGGGGTGAATCGATTAGCTTGCGACCGAAGATAGTACCAGAGCTGAGCCAAAAAGTTAAGCTCGTTTCTTCGGGACCTTCTGGTCTTAGAGTTACCTCTATGGTTACACTCTGCTGTTGGTATCTGAGTGGTGCGGAGTCACTCGAAATGGTTATCAAAAAACTCGAACTGGTGCTGTCAAAAAATTCAACGATCAGGATCAACACAAAGGCCCTAACCTTCCTAATGCATTGGAAAAAGTTATACCATAGAGGTAACTCTAAGACCAGAAGGTCCCGAAGAAACGAGCTCAACTTTTTGGCTCAGCTCTGGTACTATCTTCGGTCCCAAGCTAATCGATGCACCCCTCGAAACATAGGAAAATCCACTAGCCCCTCATATTATCTGTCAAACTTTCATAGCGAATCAAAACTAACATAGTGTAGTACTGGAATTTATACTACAATGGGGTACGTTAATCGATTTGCTTGGGACAAATAGGCTAGTCAAGTAGTGATCCAATTTGGAATCGTTAGTTTCATATTGATTGTTGGTTATACATTGAGCATTAGCGGATCAAAAAAGACCCAAAGTGCAACTCGCTCCCAAAAATCAATTTTTTAACCGATTCTTTATCTATTGGGCTCAAATGAAAAAATAAGGTGCCCATAATGGCACTCTCACTCTGGTTTTCACCGATTTGGTCATTTCCGTAGCTTGCAACTGATTCTCATAATGCCAAAAAAGGACACTTCCAAAATGTCATGTACTGGTACCGTCCGGCGGCGTAAAATTTATGATTTTTCATCCAGAAGTAAATATACATCATGCCATGGACCAACAGGTGGATCTAGGTACATCCGGATACCCAGAACCGTTTCCGGTAGGATTCAGAAAGGTCACTTCCTAAGCCTCATGTACGGTACCAGAACATGAGGCTTAGGAAGTATCATTTTTGGGGGCCCTGCTGGAGCCAGTTCTGGGTATCCGGATGTGGTCAGATCCACCTGTTTGTCCATGGAATGATGTCTATTTACTTCTGTATGAAAAATCATAAATTTTACGCCGTCGGACAGTACCAGTACATGAGGTTTTGGGAGTGTACTATTGTGCCCTATCAAAACTGCTGCAAGGTTACCTTAATGATCAAATTGGTGAAATCCTGGTCAGGGTGCCAATCTAAAAACGTTTATCTTTCATTTGAGGTTAATAGATCAAAAATCGATTCAAAAATGAATTTTTTGGAGCAAGTTGCAGTTTGGGTCTTTTTTTATCCGCTTATACACAATGTGACAATGTGTCACATTTTGTAACGTCACTCCTAGATGTCACTGAAAGCTTCTTTGGACAGCAAAATGTTCGTTTCTGAAAGTTAGGAAAAGTCAGGAAATTTCAGGTCTCTATCGTATTTCGTTACAAAGTTACAGGTTTTTTAAAGTGACGCTAGGTCAAAAAAGACCCTCACTGCACTAGGAAGGTTAAAGAGGGTAATTTTAGGAACATTTAAAACTTATTTTTTTATTTTTCCCTGAATAACTTGAAATGTTTTACAGCGTATTTTTTCCCCAAAAAAGTCATTATTTGTTCCTACAACTTTGCCTCAGGCGTCATTTTGATTAGAATTAAATTCATGAAAAACCTCCAATACGGCATTTTGAAGTGTTTTGTCAGATTCTGGCTGAATTTTAGCAAGAATGTGAATGGTTGACATTCATGCAAATCGAAGAAGGCCAAGCCTGATTTTTTTTTTTTTTTTTTTGCTTTTTGGCTTAGAAATGCTCCGGTATTGCCAACCTTATCTCTGCCAGACCTTGTTCCAGATGTTCCGGAGAGACCACATTAAAATCTGCAGAGATCAGTCTGTGTCTACTACAGGGTGTCACAATATCAGCTTCAATCAACAAAATCGATGCGACGAAGAGACTGCTAGCTTTCTTTTTCTTTTGAAGTCGAACAGCTTCGCAGCATTGTAGAACATCAGTCGGCGTATACAAACAAATTTTCAATCGCTTGTCTCTCTTTCTTTCGTCGCTTCATTTGTCTTTCTTTCAAGCTTCGGTAAAGCGGACGAGTGAAAGAGCGCTCGACTTTGATACTTTCGTCTTTCATAAAACACATCAACAGAGATTTCATGACGTATACGATGGGAAATGAAAATATAGGGGAAATGGATGTTATGTTGGCCCCTAATTTCTGCCTATACATATATTCAACAATCGACGTAATTTTCAATAGCAACCAAATATTTAGATGGGCCCAATCTTAGATCCATAGGCCAACATTAGAGACATTTCCCCTACTATGTTTAATTTATCTTTCATCCACACAATAATCTTTAAAAAAAAACAACGACAACGGGATATAACGCATATTAAACAAACTAAAGTAGCGGTGACAAAGTGTCGGCGAAAGGAATTGAAAATCATAAAGGGCTGTGCATTAACTACGTAGATAATTCTAGATAGAGCTAGAATTAGGGCCTAACAGCTTTTGTAAACAATGACTTCTCTCAATGTTTATAGAAATTCAAGGCGCGCCCACGCAAACCAACATAACCAACGGGTAGGGGAAGACTTTCCCTACCTGATGGTGATATTGATTTGCTTGGGCGAGCCTTGAGTTTCTAGAAATCATCGAGAGAAGTCATTGTTTACAAAAGCTATTACGCCCTAATTCTAGCTCTATCTAGAATTGTCCATACAAAAATTTTAAAATTTGTATGGGCCATTGATAATGGGCCCCCTCTCCACTAAACTGTCTACGTAGTTAATAAACAGCCCCTAATGAGATTTCGTTTAACTCCTTACTTTCATTAAAAGGAGTGAGCAAAGCAAAAACGAAAAAACTTACAGCCAGTGTTTCGTTCTAAGGCTTCTTTTTCATTTTCGTTTCGCTCTGATAGTCTAGCTAGGCTTTACAGAAATCCAAGAATCCTGGTCTATTAGTTTAAAATTTCAAATTCTTGAAGTTTGATATGTCGCATGGCATGTGTTGGTGATAAACGGAAATTGTCCTCTGGTGGAACCTATTTCAGATGTTCCGGAGAGGTCACATCAGGTTGTACAGAGACAGAGAAGCAAAATTTTGCTGATTTTAGACTTGATGAAAGATCAGCAAACGTTCCAGCAAAATAATGCTGCTGAATTTTTCAGCAATTCCAACTTCTGTCAAAATGGCAACCTTTTACTGAAAATAAGCAATATTTCTTTACTGATCTTTCAGCAATTCAAAATTCTGACATTTGGGAGCATTTTGCTGATTAAACTATTAAATTCAGTAAAATGAATTTTTTTTCACTATATGAGCTTCCAGCTTCTGTAACAGATCGTTGATATAAGTATACGAATAATAAAGATAAAATCACCTGACTCTTTTCGAAGTATCATTTATTAAATATAACCAGAGTCCGAGCCAGTGTCCTTACCTGCATAATTTATTTATTTGTAGTTTTTTTTACCTCTTCCTCCTCCTGCGGTGTGAATGGTGGTGTACGAATGCAAAAATACTTGCGACTGTGATGCTAACAGTTGGACAGCTCTTTGACTGGGTGTTACACACCAAATTTAAATCGCTGAAACTCAGCAGAATTTTGCTGATTTTAGACTTGATGAAAGATCAGCAAAGTTTCCAGAAAAATAATGCTGCTGAATTTTCCAGCAATTCCAACTTCTGTCAAAATGACAACATTTTACTGATAATCAGCAAAAATTCCAGCAATATTTCTTCACTGACTTTTCTGCAATAAAAAATTCTGACAGCTCACAGCATTTTGCTGAATAAACTCAGTAAATCGAATTTATTTTCACTTGGGGATGTCAGCTTCTGTTAAATATGTTTGATACAAATACACAAATATTAATGACAAAATCGCAAGGGTCGTTTCCATGCATAATTTATTACAATTTAATATAACCAGTGCTCTTACCAACATAATTTTAATATATTTGTAGTTTTCCTCCTCCTCGGTGGTTTGTACGAATCGTACGAATTAAAATACTTGCGACCAGGGCGTCACAATATCAGCTTCAATCGACCAAATCCATGCGACGAAGAGACTGCTGGCTTTTTTTTCTGTTAAAGTCGAACAGCTTCACAGCATTCTAGAACCTCAGTCGGCTTGCACAAACAAATGTTCAATCGATTGTCTCTCTTTCTCCCGTCGCTCCATTGGTCTTCCTTTCAAGCTTCGGTGAAACGGATGAGCGAAAGAGCGTTCGACTTTGATAGTTTTCTCTTTCATGAAACACTTCAACAGAGGTTTCATGACGTATATGACGGAAAATGAAATAACACATTTAAAGCATTTCTCACGTGAAAAAACTTGAAGATTACACGTAATATTTTTAATTTATCTTCCATCCATCTATTTATCTAAAAAAAATGATCGAAAACGGGACATAACGCATTTTAAACAAATTGAAAGAGCGGTGATAGAGTGTTCGTGAAAGGGGATTGAAAGCCATAATGAGGTTTCGTTTAACTAGAAAATCGACGTTAGTTACATTGAAAGCGATGAGCAAAGCAACGAAGAGAAGTTCCACAGCCAGCCTTTCCTTCTAAGCGTCCTGCTTTTTTTAATTTCGTTTCTTGCTGATAGTCTAGCTAGGCGTTATAGAAATGAAGAGTCGAACACGTATGTATGAGAGAAACAAAACACGAGTTCATTTTAGAGCTTCGAAAATGTAGACCCCTGCTTGCGACTGTGACGCTAACTGATTCTGATTGACAGCTATTTACTGGGTGTCCAGCAAACCGTTTTTTAGCTGAATTTTTCGGTACAAATATCGTATGCTGTTTTTCAGTAAAGCTTTTTTGTTGCTGATCATGATCCAGCAAACCGTTTTACTGTTAATGAAAACTAAAATTTGGTGTGTATAAACATTACCAATATTTTTGATTTGATGTATACAATATAGAAATACATAACGGCGGTGGTCACTACCCGTGTCTTGTCAATATTATCAAGTCATAAAAAGTAACAAGGACTAAAATGTGATCCTTTGATAACTGGAAAATCCTGATTCCCTAGATTAAAGTTGTCACGACAAGGGTACGGTGGTAGATCTTATACCAGTACCGCACCACGAAAAGGTGATCTCCCAACGTTACTAGTTTGAAAAGATAAAAATTTACAAAATGGAACGAACTCACCAAGTTTAGCCATTTGAACCTGAAGGCTGCTTGACATGTGTTGATGTATAAGTCCAAATTGTAGACAAAGCTTGACGAAGTTCATCATGAACTAGTCTGGTTTATGGTTAGGGGTCGTCCATTAATTATGTCACACATTTAGGGGGAGGGGGGGGGGTTTGAAAACTGTGACGAGCCATACAAAAACAAAATTAAGGTATATACAAAAAATGTGACAAAGGGGGGAGGGGGGTTGAAAATGGGCCAAATTTGCGTGACATAATTAATGAACCATCCCTTATTGCGCGAATGTCTTCCGTCGATTTGATATAAACAAATGTTCGGATGTATGTAGTCGATTTTTGATGTGCCTTGGCAAGCCAGGTTCAACGTTGCGACTCAACGAATGATGGAACTTATGATGGGACGAATTATGGGACGCCTCGTGGAGGTTCTAATTGGCTTCGGAATAGCTTGGCAGCGGCAAATAATAGGGACCTAGAATGAGGAACTAGAAATTGTCTCTTGGGCCAGGTTTTGGTGAGATCAGCAACCGATTATAGATTCGGAAAAGTCTCAGCAAATTCTACCAGTTACTCAATATTATCCAAAGCCGTCACGAAACTTCCTTCTCGCATTCTTTGCAAGTATGCGACATCTTCCCTCTTCTTCTAAATTGTCTTAATGCACTACACCCAGGTTTTTCACACACACCACGTGTACCTCCGTTTTGCTCGCAAATCGGTTCCAGAGGATTCCCTCCTCGAAACTTCATTTTTCGAAATTTCATTTTTCGGAATCGGTTTCCCTCGACTAGAACACATTTCTAACGATTTTTTTTCCTGAATCACGAACACTAAAATATACTTTTGAAATCATCAACCGCGTTTGAAACTTCATAAAATCATACAAATTCACTCGAAAAAAGTACAACTGCAAAAATAAAACACGTCAACTTTTCATAGCGGCCTACCACGATCTTCAGATTTTAAAATTTCCTAATACTTTTATGAAAAACTCAAATCTGTAACTCTTGTGCATGGCGAACTAGAGCGAAAAGAACTTGTTATTTTTTTAGTGAATGTAATTTACATTCACTGAAAAATAATGCTGAATTTAATACAAATTTGTGCTACTCACAAAAGTTGTAGTTAATATCAAAGCCTACAAAAGCTTCATAATTTATTTAACGAAATTCTGTTGATGAACACAGTTAGAGGCAAATTAATGAAAATTAATGCACGAAATGAATGTAAATGATTTGCCATACCTGATTGGGTGTGTCGATTGTCAGGGACTTAAAAGTTTTACATGGGATTTTGGGCTCGTTTTTCAGTAAAAACAATTGTTTCATTGAAAAAATGCCGTTAAGTTCAACCTATCGCATTCTGGAAATTCATTTTAGGTGCGCTATGGCCAAAACCGAAAACTCAAACCACCAGCCAACGGTACTCGGTGATCAAGCGGTCGTCATTCCATTTCCAGGTTCGTAAGTCAAAAAGCACATGCATACGTCATTCAGCATTGTAAACTTTCTTTCCCCCTAACCAGGCCGTTAATCAAACGTGCGACATTTTAACTAAAGCCATTGACCGATACCAAAAAATAGTTTCCAATGTTGGTAACGAATCACGGCGAGCGCTTTTCAGTGCATCCCGAAATGATAACAATCTTGCAAGAAGATCTTGGCGGTCGGATGTGAATTTCAACGTAAGTTCTATTCCATTGTTTTTACAGAATTTTGATCTAACACTTTTTATTTTTTAGGAATATCTCGAGGAAGTTACAGTCGATCTTAAAGCACCATGTGAAATTCTACCCTACTTAGGAATGGATGAGTCTTGTAGGAAAGCTACCAAGATAGAGCTTAGAATCTTATCTCACAAAGTATAACTTATTTCATTTCAGACGACATTATTGTCAGCGAAACGCACGCCTCCATTGAGTCGTACTCAATCTGGGGCATTTTGAGAGGATTGGAATCCTTCGCACAGATGGTTGTGCTTTCGGAAGACGGAAGCATGGTAAGTTTATGAAACGTGTTCAATCTAAAACCACCACAAATCTTATCGATGGCATCTCCCACAGCTTTACGTCAACCTAACAACCATCTCCGACAGTCCTCGGTTCTCCCATCGCGGACTTCTAGTGGACACATCGCGTCATTTCGTTTCGGTCAGCACATTGCTCAAAATGCTAGATGGGATGGCGTACAACAAACTGAACGTCTTCCATTGGCACATCGTGGACGATCAGAGTTTCCCATATCAGAGTAAATACTACCCTGAGCTCAGCGAGCAAGGAGCTTATCATCCTTCGATGGTCTACACACCACAGGATGTTCAGAATATCATCGAAGAGGCACGCCTAAGGGGGATTCGCGTCATCTCGGAGTTTGATACTCCAGGCCATACCCGTTCGTGGGGTGTTTCGCATCCAGAATTACTTACTGCATGCTATGACCAGTACCAAGGAAAGCTTGGACCTATGGACCCTACCAAAGAATCGACGTATACATTTTTGTTCAAGCTGTTCCAGGAAATAGTAGAAGTGTTTCCAGATAAATTTGTACACCTTGGAGGTGATGAAGTCGGATTCGAGTGTTGGGCTAGTAATCCCGCCGTGATGGAGTATATGAAACAGAATAGATTGTACTCGTTTGAAATGTTGGAGGAGACGTTCATTCAGCGGATCGTCGATCAAATTGATGCTCTAAACAGGAGCTCACTGGTTTGGCAAGAGGTTTATGTTAACGGTGTCCGATTACCCAATGGAACTGTAGTGCACGTGTGGACCGGGAATCGCCAAGATCTTCTATACAGAGTCGGTATACTCTGATGATAGATTATGAATTTATAAACAGACTGAAATCCTTTCAGATTACAAAAGATGGACTGCCAGCATTGCTATCGTCCTGTTGGTATTTGGATCATCTGAGCACCGGGGGAGATTGGCGAAAATTTTACAACTGTGATCCACACGACTTTGTCGGTACGAAGAATCAAAAGGACCTGGTGCTGGGTGGCGAGGCATGCATGTGGGCCGAAGTAGTGAACGATCATAACATTCTGCAACGGATCTTTCCTCGAGTATCTGCCACGGCTGAGAAACTTTGGTCCCAGGAGTATGTTACCGATACCGATGACGCAGCTCGTCGCATAGAAGAGCACTCGTGTCGCATGAACTTGCGCGGCATCCCGGCTCAACCACCGAGTGGGCCTGGATTCTGCATCTAGAATGAAAATGAAGAATCAGCTTAATCGGGAACAGATAAATGTGTTATGTAAATATTGTGTTTTTTATGTGTTTCAACGCTTCGAATGCCGTAGGAGGGGAAATTTCAAAAATAATAATTTAAATTCTCACAATAGGCCAAAATGAACTCAAACCATTACAGATGATGGTTAATTTAGAAAGGAAGAAGTGTCACTTTGAGACTTGCTTTTGGTTCCGGCCCTTATTACTGGTGTCACGAACGAAGTAAACGAAGTGACGTGACAACGAGTTACTCACGGTGACGTAATAGTGCATTTGATTTGAAAAGTTTTTTTGGATCACAAATTAACATAATTTTCCGTAAAATGCAGCTGCGCAGGAGGTAACATTTCACTGTGACTGCAAAATTGTTATGAATAATTTACCATTAAAACATCACAGAACCACACCGGAAGAAGAACAGCTAGTTATATACCTAAAACATTTTCCTACGCGATCAGGAAAGGTTAGTTTTGCTTTATGGGACGATTTTCCCCAAAACTCTCCTGGTTCCCTTGGAGAATTTTGCAACCACCATCCTTATAATAGTTCTCACTTCGAAATGTAAATGGCGAAAGCTCACAAAATATTCACTGCAATCTTCAATTTGTCCCTAATGCTTCCAATGTTGTCAATATGACGTCGGTTCATTGATTTTTCGATAAATAATGTCAAAATTAAACTTTTCGAAGCATTTTATGGATTTTCTCAGTATTTAGTATGTAGTTCCTTTTCAATGTGCTACCACCTAGCCATGAATTATCTCTAATTTTGAAATAATTCTGCATGAAGAATCTTAAATTCGAGTTAACTTAAAACCACAGAGAACAGAAGTCCGACTTCGGTCAGAAACTTGTGTAAAGATAAGTGGGAATCTCCTGATTTGCTCTATAAATTTTCCACTTTCGACCAATTTGGCGCTAGTATCGATAAATTTTCTCATCAGGTTGTCAAAGAGGGTTTTTAAGAGGGGAAGTCGGCGTTAGTGGCGCTTAAGTCTGTTTTATGTGTTAAAAGGTTCTAAGTCGGAAAAGAAATAAGTGGTGATGGTGACCCAAAACCAATAGAGCTATATTAGTTTAAAACTACAGTAAAAGTAATCTAAACTTGACAAAATGTAGTATAAGAGAAGTGCGGATTCAGAACAAACTGCCTTGTCAACATATGCCTAGGTGATTTCTAGCAACACCGCCAATGCAATCAAGATAGGCGCTGCTCGATTTGCTCTGTCTTTGACAGTTCGTTTGGCTCAAAATCAGCCAGTCTGGTCCTCTATTATACTAGACCCTCTCTAGTCCAAACCAATAAATCCGAACCTTACAACATGGATCAACTTTTCAATTGAAAACGCCACTAATGCAGCAACTGAACAACCACCGCGCAAACCAAAATGCGCGCAAAATGTGCTTACAACATATCAGAAAAAATCAAAAAATGTATGCGAGAGAGCTACACTTAAAGGGTGGAACGATTAAAAATTGGTAAATCATGATTAAGTGCACACTGATTATGTTATTGTATAAATGATCAAACCACAGACAAACAGACAACACTCACAATCACATTCATCGCAAATAATATTTTAGTTGGGAATGTGCTTGTATTTGTCATGGTGGCGCCACTGAAGCATTGAGCAAGCCACCGCACTTCGAAATTATCAGTGATGCCAGTTCTTTTTCACGTCTTGTTAGTAGATGTCAGCTTCTGAAAATGATAAGTGGTCAAGGCATCCCACTGGAGACACATACCACATCTGACGAATACAAAAAAAAAGTTGTTGAATATTATTGTATGAATATCATTGATTGACACATATTACATTGACAAATCTACATTTAGAAATGGCACTAATAAGTGATGCACTACCTCGTTTAAAACTTATTTCCAGTAAAAGAAAAAGCACAATAAACAAACAAAACAAATCCATAAAAAAGTCTTAGCTTTTGTGATTTTTTCCTACGGATCCGTATTTCTGCAAAATTCAATCAATTCTATAGATCTACGGAAAATTTCGTAGAACCGACATCACTGACTTCCATCTGTTTTGTTTTTATTCAACACAGCTGACGCGTTGACAGAACGAGGGAAAAGCAACTAGTGAAAAAATTGCATGAACGAGGGATGCTCCGGTTACAAAACAATGCTTGGGAATGTGGATGATAGATGGTGCTAGTGCGCATACAAAATACGCTTAACGATATTTTTTGAAGAATTTTCTTCAAAGCATTATATCTGTTTGTCTGTGATCAAACCTGATTTCTTTTCGAAGTTCAATGACTATAAAATACAGGAAAACTTTGCGATTTGCCTTCCGATTTTTTCAAATGCTAACTATCAGGCTTTACGTTTCACACGTTACATCAGATTTTGTACCGCAGATGTATCAACCTTATTTGATACTGAACGCCAATGAGGCCTCGGTGCAGGAATATCAGGTAGTATCACGATGGATCCCCTACGATCCACTGCGACCATAAATAATAAGAAGAAAAAGAAGAAGAGTAGTTTAAAATTATGTTTCCTACCATTCAACTTTATCATGGAGCAATATTTTGAGAACGAGGCCCGTCAGCGGTATTCGGCTCTAGAGAGGGAAGTTAAGTGTTCCTGTATACGGGACAAGCGAGTGTGGGTGGACTCGCTGGTGGATGAAGGGGAGAAAGCCGCAGCAACTGGCGATATCCGCCTTTTCTATAATGTTTCACGATGCTTGAGCGGGGCAAGGATGAACCCAAGGATGCCTGTGAAAGACGGGACTGGACAGTTGCTGACCAGTTGAAACGTTGGTTTGAGCACTTTGAACAACTTCTCTAAGTTTCAAAGCTCAACCAACCATCAACATCTCGGCATGATCCGCCTAGGGTGAGGCGCGTTACTCGCGTCAACACTGAAGCATAAACTATTCGTCAATATCTGGGACACCGCGCCTTTTCCAGCCGACTGGATGCAGGGCGTCTTGGTAAAAGTCCCCAATTCGACAACTTGCGAGGCATCATGTTACTGTGTATTGTTCTCAAAGTTCTGTGTAAAGTTATCCTCACTCGGATACAGGAGAAATCGACGCGACTCTCCAACGACAGCAGGCAGGCTTCCGTGCTGAAAGATCCTGTGTGGACCATATTGTCACTCTCCGCATGATCTTGGAGCAGGTCAATGAGTTCCAAGAGTCCCAGTACTTGGTATTCATTGACTACGAAAAAGCTTTCGACCGACTAAACCACGAAAACTTGTGGGGCGCTCTGAGACGCAAGGGAGTCCCTGATAAGATCGTCAACCTCATCGAAGCGCAGTACGAGGCTTTCTCATGCAGAGCGTTGCACAACGGAGCTTTGTCTGACCCGATTCGGGTAACCGCGGGTGTGAGACAAGGATGAATATTATCACCGCTACTGTTCCTCATCGTAATCGACGAGATCATGGTTGGAGCCGTTGACCCTGTACCGAACCGTGGGTTGCTGTGGCAGCCTATTATCATGGAGCATCTCAACGACTTCGATTTGGCTGATGATGTTGCGTTATTAGCACAACGGCGCTCTGACATACAGAGTAAGCTCGACGACCTTGTGGAACGCTCCTCTGAAGCAGGTCTAATCATCAACGTCAACAAGACCAAATCGTTGGATGTCAACTCGGAAAACCGTTCCAATTTCATAGTAGCTGGGCAGACAGTGGAGCATGTCGAAAGCTTCCAATATCTTGGCAGCCAGATAGCGTCGGACGGCGGCACCAAGAGCGACACGGAAGTGCACGGATTAAGATGGCGAGGGCTGCTTTCGCCAGTTTGCGAAATGTATGGAGAGCGAATCAGATCATTCGACGTACCAAAATCCGAATTTTCAACTCGATCGTGAAGTCTGTGCTGTAATACGCCAGTGAAACATTGTGTGTATCAGCGGAGAACACTCAGAAGCTGCAGGTGTTTATCAACCGCTGCCTGCGGTACATAATTCGTGCATGGTGGCCCCACAATTGGATCTCAAATTCCGAGCTTCATCGTTTGTGCCATCAGAAGCCGATAGAGACAGAAACTCGTGAACGGAAGTGGAGATGGGTCGGCCACACTCTACGACGGAGCGGAAACGAAATCTGCAAGCAAGCACTGGACTGGAATCCAGCAGGACATCGCAGCAGAGGCAGACCCAGAGGCTCGTGGCGGCGGAGCCTAAACAGTGAAATTAAGAACGTTGACCGAAACTTGACTTGGGCACAGGTCAAGGCCAAAGCTAGTAATTGCCCAGGATGGAAATCTTTCACAAAGGCCCTTTGCACCCCTGGAGGTGCGCAGGATCGTTAAGCAAGTAAGTAATATTTTGAGATTTTTTCATCCAGAATTTTGAGAAATAGGGTTTTATTTATGATCAGCCTAAAACTTTTAAAATGTATTGCCTCATTTTCATCACTAGAAGAAGAACGTCCAAAAACTGCTTGACATATGATTATATGATCTCAAAAAAGACGGCATTGTAATGGATAGCCGGAAGCTGGTGCTCACATATCAAAACATAGTCATGCCAATGTTGCCACACAAGATCGCAAAAAAATTCCAATCGTCATCCTTCTTGATGCGTAAATAATTTAATTAATGTATCAATTATTACATAAATAGCATTACATTAACACTGTTCAGCACATACATGCATTTCAAAGATTTCATTCCACATTTCTTTATTTTTTATTAATTACGCACAATGCTTTATTATTTTATCAATATCGTGGAATGAGTGTCAAGATCATTATAACGTATGATGTCGCAACTAAAATGAACAGTAGTTTATCAAAAACAACAGCGATTACACGTATTTCATCACCCTTTCCAGATAGTTTATAAGAATCTGTAGCAGCTTGCTCGGCCACAAGGATGGCAGTATCTCCAGCATTTTCATCGGGGGATTCTTCATTTTGACGGCCCTCTTCCATTATGTCCTGCTGCGAGCTAGCTACGGCACCCGTACTAAAAAGCCATTGGCCAATTTGGTTTCCAGTCAAAATTGTTACCACACTGGCCAAAATTGCTGGTGGCTGCTTCCCGCTCAAGTACACATGCTTGATACATACAGTCAAAACCAACAGGCTTGCAGTGACGGTCAAAGAATCGCGGAAGAATATCACTGAAATAAAAGGAATTACCGTTATGTGGCTGTGAGCTATCTGAATGGATTAACGTCGTACGGAAATAGGGCACCGTAGATCCGTTGTATGGAATCTGCCAATAAAGGTTTATAATGAATAGGAAATGAATGAACACATTAACACAAAGCATAACTAATCTTTCAATTGCGCAACAGTTCACCCATAACGCTATCAGATTGATGGCTACCATCACTGAAAAAAAAGCTGGATTATTAATATTGTTCCCAAATTAATTTCCGAGAAAATTTTACCAAACGCCGGAGTCAAAATAACCGCACAGTGAGCTCCTGAATGGCGCTCCAGGATGAAATTGAAAACCACCGAAGGATACATCGTGCTCGAGTCATTAACCTCCAGCGGAGTTGTTTCATGTTTCGAAGAGTTTGTCGATAGTATCAGCCACTCGTTATGCTTGTTGGTCTCATCCGAAATGAACGATATTCCATCGGCTGTAAAGTCTACCTCACTCGAGTATTCCGCCCACATTCCAAAGCGAAGCGTACAGTTCATACGATCGAATGGCCAATTAGTGTAATCTGACTTACAGAGCGAATGATAATCGCAGGCTGGAATACATCTAACCTCACCTGTTGAAAGCAAAATGCACTTTGGCGAGGTACACGAGGCCTCCAAATTGTTGCTGTAATAACTAATTGGAAGAAAGCAAAATTTTAGTTCAGTTGAATCTGTTCATCATCCTAAAAAGTTGATTACGCTGAGTATGGTATCATATCCGGAAGCCATATGTCTTCGGATTCGATAATGAGACTCTTCAAACCACCGTTTTCCATTGGATCCCAAGTCAGAAGCTGATCTGTCCATTTTAGACGTAGCCATACGTTGATGAAGATTTTTTGAAGGTTGTCGTCCTATAATGGAAAAAAAAGCCACTGTTTGTCTATTCAATCTGATAAAAAATATAAATCTTAATTGTAGATGCTTGACGTCAATATTAGGAATTTTGAGGAAGGTACGAATGGGGTCGACCATCTCCTTTACCAAATTCATCGGTTGATGAATGGTTGTGAGGGGTGTTTCTCTTCGCCACCACTGGCAAAAGGGATGATCGCCAATTCGCTCAGGTACCTCATGATGTGCGCGAACAGTTTGTTTCACACTCAAGTCGCCATCTGACGTAAGCATCTAGTAGCTGATAAATCTTACTATATCAAAATTCTGCAACACCATATGCATGCCAACTATCACGGGATCGGTATACTTCTTAACCGGCCGCTCTGATTTGTCATAACTGCCACACAGCAGCTTCTGCTTTAGGACCACATCCGGCGTATTTGGATTTCCATCGCATTTGATCGAAACTGAAATTATAAGAGTAGATTTTAACTAACTTTGATTTGCATATTTACTCAGTAGTTGTCTTACCGATTTCATTGATTTGATAGATAAGGAATATAATTTTCAGCAGCTTCATGTTTGCTCAACAGAGGAAAACTTGATACAAATGAACATCGATCTGCACAGGATGACCGATGAGAGTAAAATACTTCAGAGCCAACTATCCTCCTCTGTACATAATTCCTCCTCTGTAATTCGATATTAGATAAGCATGGTTGTGGATCTAGTAACACCATTGATAATGGTGTGGTTTGACCCGTCGTATATGTGCTTCTGTTAAACAGTCGTCGGACAAAGTTAGGGATATATTTATATTATTATTATTATTATTCATTTTTTTATATGACGTACCAACACTTTCGTCGTATTCGCCCATATGTCTCTTCTGCAGTTGCGGGGCCTTATTTTGTGCTGGGATTATTTAGTAAAACAAATTACTGTCACCATCATATTGTTTCAAAAATACAGAAATCGAGGTGAAAATCTCATCAAAAATAAATGTTGAGCTACATAGCTGTGCTTGATTTTACCGAACTAGAGATTACGGCCCGTTTTGTAATTTCTGTAGGGTCGGGTGGTGCATGAGTGCCGCTTTAAGAATATCGTTCAATAAACAACAATAAGTCAACCTGAAATTTTGAAAATCCAAATGATCTACATTGGCGCATCAACGCAAAGCCGAAACTGGTCATGCGACACCAAGTTTTAAGATCCACAATTAACGACTTTATTCGAGCACTTAAAATGACGTTTACTACCACTCAAACTTTGAAATAAAACATTATTTTGAGATTTTTTCTTCTAGAACCTCGAGAAAAGTAGCCAACATTTGTGCGTTTCATAAAAAAAATATAAATTATTTGGTCCAGTTTTGTGAAATCGCTGGTAGAAAGTTACGCCAAAACTGCTTGACAAAGTGGCCAATTATAAAAATGATGATATACTAAAAAAATGTCATGCAGTTTGACAGATATCAAAATGCCATTACCATTTTCACCCACTCGCCATCTGTGAGTCAATCGTCACTTTGATGCTTCAATTGAAGCTTAAACATTCTCTCTTAACGGGGACACCTGTTGAGATCTCTAAAAAAAGGGTATTTTTTGTGAATTTTTTTTAGAACATTAGAATAAATGCAATTACTTCGGGTTTTCATTTCGATCAACATTTCAGCTTTACTTTCAAAACAGGGCGTCAGCATCTACCACCATGAGATTTCAGGAGCAAGTGAAATTCGTGCTAGTTGGTTGAGCTGGTGGAGCTGGTGAACTAGCATAAGTGTAAACAGCCCATTACCGACCCCACTGAAACGTTGGTTTGAGCACTTCGAACAACTTCTTCAAGTTTAGATGTCCAACCAACCATCAACATCTCGACATGATCTGCCAAGGGTACGGTACATCACTCGCGTCAACTCCCTGGCTCCCTCACTGCAAGAGATTGAGAACTATAGATATAGCTGGGACTGTCCACAATTGCTGGATTAAATTTAACTTGTGGTTGAAAGTGACATATGTAAAGTTATCGATTAACCCTGATATCGGAGAGTGCTTATTATTGACAGACAAAAAGGTAGATTTTAACAACCATGCACGAAAACTGGTCGATCGATAACTCAGGAATTTTTAACATGAAAAAAAAATCATTCAAAATGTCACTTTTAGCTTCAAGTTAAATTTTACATTCCAAATGGGTCATAGCAAGAGATGGTGTTATGTTGAAAACAAAACAAAAAGTTTAGCTGTTTCAACATGATTAAAAGTTTTGCGAGAGATTCATAATTGCAAAAAATCCCCAACTTATACTATGCAGCACAAAATTAAACAAATTCTATTCAACTACAGCATGGGTTCGATTTTGGCAAAACATAAATTTTGTCAATACCAATTTAGCTTTCCACAGGTTTTAATAATTGATAAGCTGATTATCTGATCTTCAAAATTATCCGAAAAATAGAGTTGCAGAGCACAAGCAAATTAAAGATATTGGAAACGTGTTGCCAAAATCAGACCTTCACTGAACTGAGAATTTATCGTGTAAAATTTACTAATTTTATTGAGTTTCTTCAGCGAGATCAGAAGATACCCAACTAACAATTTTCACAATTTAAACGCTTTACCCATCTAACAATTTTCACAATGTAAACGCTTTACTCATTTCATTTATACAGTCTCAAGCTGTATTCGAACGTTATACGATATGAGGAAACCATTACTCAACCTCTATACAAGCAAATCTGGCGAACTTAGTCAGCTACTTATGGCTGTTGGAACGGTCGGGAGAAGCTCTTATTGCATATCCATTAACGCTTCTATACAGCTGTTATCCTGCTGTTTAGTTGTGTGTGAACTTGAAAGGCGCTTATTCAACCTTTTCCCGGTTATCCAATAATCACTACACAGCTTTCTCTTGAAGCCGGGTTAAATACTGTTTACGCTTTTTTATTAAGGAATTTATTGAGTTTATTTTGCTGTGAATCAAATTAATCGAAATTAGTTACAAATCATGACCAAATTATTTACCCTGCACCGGAACCTGGAATCGAATCGAGACGACCTCATTGGCAAACCTTGACACTACCAACTGTGCTACGCCAACACTTTGAACTTATGTAAACAAATCAACATTCGCTTCTACAACAAAATCGCTGAGTAAAGGCTTTATAATAGTACACATGAATCAGTTTCTCGACTAGTTATAAACGAACAGAGTAAAAGCTGTAAAACTGCACACGTCTAAAAATAAACCTAGTTGACTGTGAAAATACTTCCGAAGTTGCTCTAACACAGTTTATAAGCTGAGTACAGGTTATTTAGTTGTTGAAAAAGCACTTTTGATGTTTATGTTATTCAGCAAGAGTGGTTGGTTGTTTAGAAGCCATAAAATGAGTAATATATGCACTTTGTTAGCTTTGTTTTGCAGCTACAAGTTGAAAGTTGATTAGTGTGTGTATAGAAGTGACATTAGCGTTTATTGGCTGATGTTATTCAGTGCGACTGACAAATTGAATAATGATTGTGAGAAAGTTGAGTAAACGCTCTCCAAAACTATTTTGCTAGCTGTTGCTTGTAGCTGTATCTGCAGCTTCTTTTCAGCTACTTTACAGCACAACGCTGGAAAAGTTGGCTTACAAAGCTGAAAATTTTAGTTGGGATATCACATAAGTTTACATTATATATCATGTAAAGTTCTGAGACATTTCAAGCTGAAGATTGCATTAGGTCCTACGTAACATTGACAGATTCTTTTTGTATCCGTACGGCCATGTAAAGACATGCCCAGGTATTTTTAGCACTCAGATCGATAAAAGAGGCTTTTATCTAGCATCTAATACGACAAACACAAGACACGGTTATGTGCTCAAGTTATTAACGAAAGAGAAAGTCGACAAAGAGAATCGATCAATGTTACTTAGGACCTAATGCAATGTTCAGCTTGATTTCATGCAATGTAGCAAATATTGTATACAAAAGCCCATTGTTGTAAATAACATTGTTTACAAGTTGCTCGGTTGCGTGAAATGAAACACAAGTTTATGTGAATTAATGTTTACATCACTATTAAAATTCAGAATTTATCTGTGTTGATCTTCGATGACGGTTTGTGCCGGTGGGTGTTGCGATGCGGAAACACAATGGTTTGCGCTTTGGCCACGTTCACACATATCTTCCAGTCGGTGAGATATATGGTGTAGGCATCCAATCCGTTTTGGAGCTTCGATACGAGAGTGCGCATTACTCGTTCCTTGTAGCTGATTGCCGAGTCGTCAGCAAACAGCGATAGAGTTCCACCTTGCGGCAGTGTCGGTATGTCTGATGTGTACAGATTGTACAATATGGGTCCCAGAATGCTTCCTTGAAGGACTCCGGCGGGTACCGAGAGAGCGCTGCCTACGCATACTTGAGACGTCCTACCGTCGAGGTAATTCGAGATGATCTTCAACAGGTAGCTGGGGAAACGAAATTACAGAAGCTTGTGCACCAAGCCGTCGTGTCACACGTTATCGAATGCCTTTTCGATGTCCAGTATCGCCATGACCGTTGTCTTCGAGACCAACTTCGCCTGATTGATGAGGTATGAGTCCCGCTTGAGTTGGTCCACCGTCCAGTAGGATGTCGTTCGCCTCGGTGTAAATGAGTTTCTCAAACAACATGCTAAGCGAGGACAGCAAACTGATCGGATGGTAAAATCCACGAATCCCTCATTTTATCGGTAAAACTTTTATAGATAATCAAAACAAACATAGTGTAGTAGTAGAATTTCGGCTAGCATGGGGTACGTTTATCGATGTACTTGGGACCAATTGGCTAGTCAAGTAGTATATTTTTTGTAAAGGAATTTCGCTTGGTCTCACCATCAAGATTGGTAAACTTAAGGCCTGTACTCGAAAAAAATGTACCAGACAAAAGTGTTCACCAAAAATTTATTTTAAGTCGGATTTTCTTGAAACTTTCAGGGAATGAACTAATACATATGGATTCTCGTATGGATTATGTATGGATTTGCTTTATTCGATTTCCTTAACATCGCTGAAAGCCCGCACCTTTCCCTTAAGACCCCTCATTACATTTTGTGCAATGGTGGAGCCGACCTTTTGACGTAGAACTACGTCTTTGTCGACTATACTGGGGTGCAAATCAAAAAATAAGTGTGGTGAAATAGTGTTAGGCATTGAACGCTTGTAACTTTGTCATTTATAGATTAAAATAAAATCTAAATACGCCAATCGATAGGATATTACATTACAAATCTACTGAAGTAAATTTTTTTTTCAATTTTCCACAAAAAAACATTTGAAAAATGTACAAATGATAATTTTATCTCTGTTTTCATGAAATAAACGATTTTCCCTAACCCAGTCGTCATAATCGAGTACCATTTGGTTGTACATCGTTCTGCTTGAACCTGAAAATATAAATACAGCGTTGCTGTTGTGATTTTGCTCATCACCGCTTCGAACGGACCGGTTCATGAGTTGATGGGTCGATAGGTAGGGTCTAGGTGAGGGAGCTGCCTCCCTGGAGTCCGTAGCATTGGTGCTCAGCACGGAAAACAAATCAAGGAAAAAAAAGAGAACCATAACCGAAACATTGAAATTCTTG